AAAAAAAAACCAAATAATAATTAGATAATTACTTAAACGTAGTTATTCTTAGGTGATTTTCTTTCATTTGTTGCCAGAACACAGAAAGAGATCCGTCACTGAGATGACTGAGGGGCAAGGACAGGGAAACCCCTTTGGTCCTCGTTCTGCTGCCCCGCACCTGTCACGCCGGGGCTTGAATAAGCGTGAGGTTCACGTCAATACATGGTCTGACCCTGCTGAGTGGTGTACAGTTTTGAAATGTTTTAAGGTAAGGATCTGAAATCTGCCTGATTATTTTGAGACAATAGGAGATGTGGATGACATTTTTAGTCCAGAGAAAGTTTAAAAGTCTGGTGGCTTGACTTGAGCATCCAAGACGCACCCTTCACTGGTCTGAGGGAGATTAAAGGAGCTCCCTTTCTGTGCTCTGCCCTGTAACCTTATTCACACTCCAGGTTCTCCTCATCATTGCTAGGCCACTCCCAAATGCATGATGAAGAAATGAGAATCTTCAACCCTAGTTTAGAAAAATTCTTTGAAAGTTCTAAGAAGAGTGTATTGATGAGTATTTACCCCTCACCTATTTTCTTGGATATGGGACTAATCACTGCCTAAATCAAAAGAAAAATGAGGAGATCCAATTTTATATTCAAAATTTCTAATGAGCGTGATATAATTTTCATTTTGCACTCTAATTGCTTTGGTAGGAAAACGGCGGTCTAGCGCTGTGTCCCTAGTGCTGAACTGTCAAGTCTCGGGCTAAAAGGTCCCTTTGTCAAGTGTGGATAAGTTCTGGGATGGAGTGAGTCTGTTGTGAGTAAGGAGAGGAAAAAGTTGGGTCACATGCTTTGGTGAAGCAACAGCATAGCAAACGCTTCTTCAGAGGCAACGTTTAAATCTTTAAAATCAAATAACAACCCACAGCTTGTGTGCCTTTACAGGTGTAAGATACACAAAATCCACATATAATTCAATACCCCTTTTGATCTGAAATATTGTTTAGAGACAACTAAAGTATCTTCCTACTAAGGTCTACACAATAATTGTGCTGATAGCAAGGGGAAGCTTGTTAGTTACATAGTGAAAAACAAACCATTTTGCCTAAACCCTATGAGGACTGCGAGTTGGGGGATTCCATATCCCACTGGACAGAGACCAGCAGCTTTTTCTTCATAAGTAATTGAC